ATTTAGAAAAAAATATTGACTTCGTGTTTTCAGAATCGAGATACATGTTCTTGACTGGGTTATTTATCTTGTTGGTGATGTTGTCGTTGTTGTTAATTTTGAGTGGTGAATATATATTTCCTGCTTTACTATTGTTGATGGGAGTGAGCAATGGAGATGTCCGGATTGACGTTTTTTCCTGAAGTGTTTTAATTAAGTTGAATAGGCATAAGAAATACATTTGTTTTAGTTCTGGCGCCTAAATATGGCGTGACGCATTATTTAACTCGAAAATTTGATATACCTATTGAAAATGTCGCCAAATTACCTCGAAAAGTCTTATTTACTCAAATATAAAAATGATAGATTCAATATTTCGAGATACGTGTATGTAATAATGAATACACTTGCATGACTTTGTTTAAGTCAAGGTTTTTGTTCGCGTTCAACGAATTTGCTCGGATAGGCGAAATTGAAGCAAATGCTTTTAAGAAATATATCCGTTCTTAGACGTAAGAGTTGATTTGCTTGAGCCGATCTACCTGTCAATCAATTATTTCTGGTACAAATCCACATCTTCCTCCCACCATTTATATTGTGTATTACTATTCCATGTAACAATATATTAAGTGCTTTGAGTATTTCGGAGAAAGCTCTTTCTTGTGCCAGCATACATAAGTACATGAGTCAAGAACATTGTTCGCCTCTCTGGATGCGACAATTTGGAACTCACCATAGTTGGTTTGCTTGAGCCGATCAACTGAACTTATATAACTAATGTAGAGACACAATATATGTATAAACTGAACAGGGAGTCTGTGTTAATTTTTACCTCCCTTAGTTGTTTCCTCAATGTTTTCTCCAGTATTGTCTGTTTCACCTAGCCTTCAGTGGGGAAGACATTCATGAGTAGTCCTCATAAATGTCTTTGTGGCGTATTTTGGCGACCCCACTTGAGCTAGCTGTTATAGTTTGTAGAAGTGGCTGCCATACGCGTGTGGGTGGCAGCTACTGGGTTATTCAATTTTTCATATAATTTTCCATATATTATTGATATCATGCTAAGAGCCCAAGTGTGGCTCTATTGATAATAATAAATTCAATGTCACCAATATAGTGGCCATTTTCATCATATTGTTGTCCGAGTTTTGCTTGTTATGAGTGCAGAGGCATAATAATAAATACACTTACAATGAAAATGATTAATTCAATATTTCGAGTAGCGTGTGTAATAATAAAAACACTTGCAATACCCGTTTTTGGCGAGTAAATACATGTGTACGCATCTCGAAATGACCGGTAAGTTGACATTTCTAATTAGAAAAAAAGCGAAATTTCGAGGACGCTTCTTGAAATTTCAATTTACTTACACAGACGATTTCTAAATTTCAACAATATCATATTGATGGCACGCTTTTTCAATTAGTATACAGCAACATTTTAAGATGCAGTCACATGTGAGTGACTTAGATTCATTATTCAACCAATAGGAAGCCAGGTAATGGAGGTAATCACATAAAGCTTTAAGTCATCTATTTGATAAAAATGACCCAATGCCTGAACTTCGACCAATCAGAAATCAGTCCATCTTATGAAATAACAAAATTGAAATCAGAATAAAGCTCGCAGTGTCATGGTAGACCTACATACCAAATTTGATTGAAATATCTTTGTTTTAACTATCCATAATTAGAAGTCAGTTGATGGTGGACATTGGCTTTGAAAGATAACCGAGTGAAGCGGTGCAGTAGAGTTTAAGATAGTATGGTGTTACGCTATTGAGTGTAACACAGTATAATTTAATACAGTAGAAGGTGGCACAGTAGAGGGAAACACAATCATACAAATCAGTCATCGCACTGAAAAGCTTTGTAAGGGTAAGTGTAAGTGATGAATACAAGATATATATTTCATTATTTCATATGCAGTTCGATGAGTACAAAGGACATCGTACACGGACATTTCGTTCCATTCAACATTCAATCAAGGGGCGTTAGCATGCAATGGAAGTGTATAAGTAATGCTGTGATATATAGGATTGCTTTTCTATTTTTATCTAGTTGTTAATATGTGTGATGCATGTTTAGCAACCTTCCTAGAATTGTTATAGGTTACTATATATGACAGATATTATTGATGGTTTGTTAACTAAGGGTTTAGCGTCCGCGCAATAGCTTAGGTCATATGGAGACGGGTAATTTTGGAGGCACAGACAGCAAAGGTTTTATAATAAAAAAGAACTATCAACACAGGGTTTAAAAAGATGCAGGTTGATGAAATATATGGTCAAGTGTTATGGTCAAAAATGTGGGAAATTTGATGTTCATTTATTACAGTTGTGTGACCGCACAACGCACCAAAAAATAGCGTGCGCACACCGTGCATACATCGTTAACATACCGTCCGCACATCGTCCACACATGGTGCGCACAACTGTGCGATTTAGCAATCGTTCGCCAAGTTGTGCGCTTCTCTCCGCACAACTGGGCGATTTGGTATCATTTGTAGATCAAAATTACGGAATGACAAAAACACGGAAGGCTTGTATGCGATAATGTACACTGTGTATACATGTATATCTGTACTTTCTCATCACAATAATCAAGATTATACAGTTTTACAATGCGTGTTATACAGTATTACAGCGACCGTTAGGCTGTCAAGAATGGGTTTGGCTCCAAGGTAACAGAACAGGTAATTGTTATTTGCATTCGTTTGCCTATAGCTCCCCTTCACCTGGATTTTCACACACCCGGCCGACGAGTTACGATAGTGCCCCAGGCGGGGAGAAAACTACGGTGCAGGTACATGTACAAAGTGGTTATGTTTACTTGTATACGGGTTTGTGTTATAATTTTACTTGTGTCGATTAAGTTTGTTTAAAAACAGAAAACACAATTTCTAAATATAAGAATGTAGAGACAGAAAGATAAGTATATAGATGTAGCTAGAATAAAGAAACATATGTAAAAATCAAGGTTATATGTTTAAACACGAAACCGTATACATTGTTCAGGCAATCCTCAATTTACACCAACCACGATTGTTATCGCACAACGTCCGTCCATCGTGCGCACAGATGTGCGCAAGCAATGATCGTCCAGCTTTTTATCGTTCGCCCATCTCGTACACACCGTTCACACACCGTGCACACGTCGTGCGCACACCGCACATCGTGTAACATTGTGCGATCCCACAACTGTATATTTACATGACGGGTATGAAGGACAGACGCTTAACCTTCTGGTCCACCTGGTGTTATTCTCCTAGCACCCTTTCTGGGTACTGTACAACGTTAACATTGATGAGCCTTTACAGGGCTCTGTAGATATTGACATATTAAACCATTCTAGGTTCGTAAGAATAGTGACGTTGATGCACCTCTATTAAATCAGGTAGGATACTGATGTTGTTGTACCAAAATAGGTTCTGACATTGACTAGTCCTTTCTAGATCTTTGATGATAATGACGTTGATTTGCCCTGTTTATACAATTTCACGGTCTGTAGAATATTGACATTGACTAATCCGCACTAGCGGTACCTGAATGATAACTATATTAACTAACACTTACTAGGCACTAGGCAATTTGTTTCTTAATATAAAAATATGAGATATATAGGAGGCACGTTAGTCTAGTGGTAGGACGCCGGGCTCGGGACCGAATAGTTGCGGGTTCGAGTCATGGCACTGCGCGGCACTATGTTGGTTCTTTGAGCAAGATACTTTATTCGGCTTGTTCCAGTCTACTCAGCTGTAAATGAGTACGTGGTTGGGGTGTGATGAAAGTTTTGAATGCCAGCTGTGAGCGCCGAAATGGCAGCACCGGCTGTATGCTCCCCAGGGAGTTGAGAAATATATCGAATGGTTGCAAAGGCCCTATAACCACGGATAATAATTTGTGAACCGCTTTTAGACGAGCTACGAACTAAGTTGTGATAAAGCGGTGTATAAGAACCTCGAATTAATATTAATAGTATATAACCCTTGCTGGTCCTGAAAAATAATGACGTCTATTTAATCTATTAGTGTCTGTAGAATCTTGACATCAATAATCCTTACAAAGGACCTCTACAATACTGACTTCAATATTAGAAACTTATAATATTGAAGTTGATTCGCCACCTGTAAGGCATGACGCGTTTTGACGTTGATTTGTCGTAAAGGGTCATGGCTGGATTGGTCGAGATATTAACACTCCACGATCCCCGAAGTCGTCGTACGCTTGGAATATTCAGATAGGTGTTTTTCTCCTGCCAACACAACTCCAACAACCCAGGTGATGTGTAAAATGGTCTTGAGTGGATGTTGCGGTATCTGTGATGTAGCATTCAAGTGAGATGGCATAACAAATGATACTGTTGGAAGCACAGTCCCATTACAAACAGAATACAATACATCTCCAGCACACACGCAGACATACACACAAAGGGAGATATTAGCCAGGTGGCATACTACAAGTAATTTGCGCCTGATAAGGCAACTCCTGCTCGTTCCTCAACATTGTATTGATTAATGTAAATGTTAATTGTATTGCTTGTTAAATTGTATATATATGAACTGTAAAGCAGTTTAAGTGGCTTATTCTAGCTAGACAGGGCGCTTTATCAAATGTTGCTTATTATGTAGAAATTTCCATTCACTAGTTCTTAGTAGATCAATATAAAATTGAATATGCTTTGCCCTTTGTTTGACTTTTAGTATGCTGACACACATTTAAAAGACAGCTTGTCTACAAAAGCAAACTTCGGCAAAAACAGTTGCATGTTGGGCGTTTTTGGAATTTGCGTAAATTGATAAATCCCATATACTTGTATTAATGCCAAAGTGACTACTAAACTGATTGGGCTATATGACCGATGATTTAGTTTTGTTGATATACGCCCTTAGAACACATAGTCGTACACTTATCTATTATTCCTGACTGTAATAGGCTTATACACACAATATTCAGGAATTAAATGGGTGGTCTTAGAAAGTGCACGATATGGTCAAAACGTATAAAAACATGGAAACCGCAAAACAAACGCTAGTATCTCTCTGGTAATTGGCCTTTTTGTAGCTGACCAGGATACTCCAAGCAATATGGTTCTAGGAGTGACGGAGCTGGCCACGGAGAACACCACTCACCTGTACGATACCTACGACTACTTCGTCCATCCCCATTGGAAGCAGTTCGACCCAGTACCTCATACATGGCACTACTTTATCGGAATTTTCATCTCAATTGTTGGTGTCAGTGGTGTGATAGGTAACATTGTCGTCATCACGATGTTCTCCACCACCAAGACACTGAAGTCGCCATCTAACATGTTGATCGTTAACCTTGCTCTTAGTGATCTGACCTTCTCGGCTGTCAACGGATTCCCTCTATTGACTGTATCTGCTTTTAATACTAAATGGGTGTTTGGAGATACCGCCTGTCAATTCTACGGATTAATAGGAGGTATATTTGGACTTATGTCGATCAACACATTAGCTATGATATCTATTGATCGCTGTATTTGCATTACCAGACCGCTCCAAGCTATGCGAATTATGACCCGTAAGACGTCTTTCATCATGATCGTCGTCGTCTGGGTATGGGCCGTAGGATGGTCCTTGTTGCCACTCTTCGGCCTCGGAGCCTACATCCCCGAGGGTTTCCAAACATCGTGCACATTCGATTATTTGACCAAGACCGTCTCAAACAGAATATACATCATAGGCATGTACGTCTTTGCCTTTGCCCTACCACTAGTGCTGATTATCGTATCATACATCATGATTATTAGTTCTATCAGAAAGCATGCACGGGAAATGGCTAACATGGCTGACAAGATGAACGCCGAGGAAGCGGATAAACATGAGAAAACAAAAGCCGAGATCAAAATCACCAAAATTGCCATGACTCTCATCTCCCTATTCATCTTGTCTTGGAGTCCCTATGCCACCATTGCCTTGATAGCACAGTTTGGGGATCCAAGCTTTGTCACTCCTTTGATGTCGGAAATGCCTGTCATGTTGGCCAAGTCGTCTGCTATGCACAATCCTATCGTGTATGCACTCAGCCATCCGAAATTCCGCGCTGCTCTGTATCAGAAAGCACCTTGCTTCCTTAACTGTTGCAAACCAAGTCCCAAGCCACCAGCGGAAGCTCCATCCAGAGCTCAGGTCGGACGCACCGCCAGTGATTGTAGTCAATCGACAATTGCAAGTTCTTATGGACCAGGATACGAAATGCAACCGACCATGAACCAAGGAGTCAACTCGGGTGAACTTGTAAAGGAGCTAGTGGGCGCCATTGTCTCGATGGCTAACAACCAACCGCCGACCGTTCAACCTGTGTTCATTCCAGGGACCGGAGGAACTGTCGTCACACCAATAGCCGCAACCCCGGCCCCAGCGCCTACGGCCGAACAGGTGCAAACTACAACAGCTGCAATTATTGAAAAGGCAACAAAGGAGCCTAAAGTTTAGTAATGGACGCCAACGAAAGGAAGATCACATCAAAATTGTCCAATTATCGTTTGAGGATACTCACATTTCTATCGGTTCTGGTGAATTGAAGATAGCAACAGAATTCAGATAAGGACTGTCCTGTCTACAGATTTAGTGAAAATGTCAAATTGATAACATCGCGATGAATGAAAGCCCGTGTTTATTGTAGCATTGTTCAGCATTAACAATATGCTGCAGCGAGTCAATCATCCTTTGCGGGGTGTGGGCAATATCGGACTTACGCTTCGGTCCACGGCAAGAGGAGGACAAAAAGTAAAAGAAGGACTTGATGGAATTCCCGTGCACCCTGCAAGTATTAAAACATTGGATTTTTTCTATTGTTAGTGTCAGATCAGAATTTTAACGACAATTTTATTTCTATAATGTTGAACAATGGATTTCAATTGATATATTGATTATTTTACTAAAATTCTTTCAGTGTACGCACAGATTCCGCTCAGTAACGGTGCTTTATATATAACTCTCATGTGTAAGTTATGAATTACATTGGGAAATAAAAAAAGTCTTTCTTAATTCTCGGTTATTACACTTCGTTTCTCAAAAAGATTTAATTTATATACGAATGCCTTCATAGTTCTACCTGGATATACCGATTACCGAAATCTCAATTTATTTAAGTTTTGGTCTAGACCTTAAATTAGAATCATTTGAAGAGAAATGACGAAATGTAGCTATGTGATATTTATTTCCATTCTGTTTTCTTTGATTAATATCACGTTTCAGAAAATTCCATATGATCGACGTCAAATTGTATTTATAGCTTGTTCTTGTCATCAGCGAGGTCAGCGGGGCGCCAACCTTTTTTTTCTCCTAATAAATTATAAATTTACCGTTTTTGAAAGATATTATAGACATACCATACCACCTATGTCCTATATATGGCATTTTTTGTCTAGCCCAGTTATGTTTTATTTGGTTCACTGTCAACATGTCGAAGTTTGAGTGCCATTTAAATACTTGATATGGATGTGTTAAAGACAATAGCCTAGTTATGAATATTTATCTTTTTGCCTACTTACAAGCCGTCGTTGAGGAGAAAATATCCGAGCCGAACATCCTACTCAAGTATGATTGAGTAATCGAGCTGATGAAATGACACCAATGTACGAACTTAACTCGGTTTTACAATTATGTTAAGTAAATGTTTGATTAATAAGACAGTTCAAGCGTTTAATTAATAGCATGTCCACGTAAAACTATTTGATGCTGAAAAAAGAACAGGGTAAGGCTTCCCATACACAGCATGTAACAATCAACAATTTCTGGTCATGGGGATATTTGTTTATTTTAGTTATAAAGAGTTTGTGTATGCCACTGAAAGTCAACAACAATACTATAAACCGTTATTGAGTATCTTATTCACCTTCTCTAATGAGATCAAAAAATGTTTAGTGTTATCAATTCCCTATCTAATGAGTACAATTGTATTTGTCATGGTGTAACTTACCATTCATAGGATACACGTCTGGAGATGCCTGTCTGCCTTACTGATTTAGAACGGATGTACATGTGAAAGTGTGGTAAAATGTATCATTTTAAAATGATAATATTTCTTAAGAGTCAAGGGAAAAGTACGATAAGTTCAATTAATAATAATTAGTATATAAGGTACTTTGCACGAGACATATATCATTGCCCATCAGGAAAGAATATTTTGCACTCAAATGTTTCGTTCTTGAAAATGTGTCTGATTTGTGTAAATCAAATTCCCTTCGACGAGTCGTTTGGAGAACAACCTCTAAAAGAAATCCTCGCAAAACGTCAATAGTCTACATGTCAAATGCAATTGTGATAATACAGTATATGAAGAATGATATGAGCAGTATGAAAATGGCGATGAGCTTCAGCTGGCAATTTTATCTGTTTACATTTCCTTCGTACATATTTTTGGTTTGTAGGTTAGATAACCTACCTATAAACAATGTTGTTATATCTCATTGACAGATAAATCATTTCATCCGGAATATTTTCCCATCGGAAACTGTTCGCGTCTTTCTGTCAATCAGTTTGAGTAATCGGGGACCAATCACACCTTGACGTCAAATTCAAATTATGACGCAAATTACTGAATGGTTTGCGACTGTCGTTCGTCGCCTGACTAAATCGGTAACCTTAGAAACACAATATTGTTCCCGAAACAAAATGGCTTTGCGGCAATTTGGTAAAATATTTTGTTTAAATTATATTTTGAACCGAATGAAACATCAACGAACAAATGAAATAATTTGTCTTTGCTGTTTTGAATGTAAGTATAAGGATTGAAATGCATCTTTTTAACAATTATGATGGTATGTAAACAGCTCTGTTCAAAGATATTCTCCAACATGCGAAATATGAAGGTACAGAAAGCCTTTTAAGAAAAAACAACATATTGAGGTCAGTCATTACAGAAGCGGAAACAACTAAACGTTAAAACATGTCTATATAACCCAGCGTTGATTCTGTAGTTATTTGGTAGATCCTATTGGATCTACTGACGTTATGACTCGGCTCAGGCTTTTACTTTATTGTAGTAGTTCTTCAGGTAAGTTATTCGGCTTGGAATTCTGTTTGTTTTCATTGTATGTTGACGCAATGGCATACACATTTTCTTGGTTGTTAGACTTAAGTTCCAATGAGCTCTACAGAGAATGGTAAAACTCATATGTTTGCATTAAAGTTAAAGTAATTAGTATACTGTAGAACAAAATATCAAATGTTTTACACTGCTTGGCCTTCAACAAAAGTCAGTGAGATGGGCGTTCCGTATATCAATCATAAGCTGAATTAGTCGCTGTAAGTCTGTCATAGCGTAATGCTATTGTTGACTATGGTAATATGGTACACGAGCGAAAGTGGTGAGCTGGATGTCGTAGTATCCGCTATGATAGGTTTTAATTAACACTACTATAAGCAGATATAACTAACGTCATTATCGAGATCATTATCGTACTTTTGATCAACCTTTTGTCTATATACGTCTAACACCAAGTCCTTTGGTAAGGTCATCTATACACGATAATAAGACGATTTTTAAGGCAATAATCTACTGAGAAGCTTTGCTTCTGAAATGTACTTGCTACAGTGATATTTATTTGAAAACAAATACATGTTCAAATTGTCAATTTTATTTCGTTGCATTAGTATGAAATTAAAAATGGGCGTGTCGCCATGCGTACTTATTACAGATTATATTCTGGAACTACAAATCATCTCGTGGTATGCAAATATAAAGCGGTACGTTATTACACTTATCCTATCTTTATGACATAATACATTTATCAAACTCATATTTTTCCCAATTCAATCACTCATTAAACTTACAATGGAAATATTGTAGTTACAACCCGAACGATATGTTTCAGTGTCTTCAACTTATAAGCAAATATAAAGCAAACCAACACTTCCGTCTGCGCCATTTCTAATAGTTTTGTTTTTACCATTACATAGTTTTTCAGTGAGGCATCATGCAATACCTTTAGTATTAAGTTATGCAATGGTTGAACACACATGGTCAAGCTGAAGCCAAAACCACGCTGACAAATAGTTAATTGCGAGGTAAGACATTACGTACCGCTATGATAATTATCTATCTTTGCACTAACTTGTTAAGTTAAGTGGTCCGTTAATATTGCCTGTGGTAGATCGACAGGAAGCAGATTTGTTTCTGACAAAATATTCATATTATTGCTGGCAAAAACATAAACTCGTGTCAACATAACTCGTAGGTCAAATAGCATGGCTGATGAATCAAAACATATGTTATAACTTAGCCCTCAGTATACATAGTCGCTGACAGATATCCCGTTACATAGTATTTTGATTGTTATAATATATTAATGATATGCATTAATTCTGCGTAAGCATGTCTAACTTGACCTCGTTCAGAATATTTATGAACAATTTGCTAATATTCAGTCAGTATCATTAGATGTCCATATCATGTCAGTATCAGTAGATGTCCATATCATGTCAGTATCATTAGATGTCCATATCATTTCAGTATCAGTAGATGTCCATATCCTGTCAGTATCAGTATATGTCAGTATCATGTATATGCATTAATTCTGCGTAAGCATGTCTAACTTGACCTCGTTCAGAATATTTATGAACAAGTTGCTAATATTCAGTCAGTATCATTAGATGTCCATATCTTGTCAGTATCAGTAGATGTCCTTATCATGTCAGTATCAGTAGATGTCTATATCATGTCAGTATCAGTAGATGTACATATCTTGTCAGTATCAGTAGATGTCCTTATCATGTCAGTATCAGTAGATGTCTATATCATGTCAGTATCAGTAGATTTCCATATCATGTCAGTATCAGTATATGTCAGTATCATGTATATGCATTAATTCTGCGTAAGCATGTCTACCTTGACCTCGTTCAGAATATTTATGAACAAGTTGCTAATATTCAGTCAGTATCATTAGCTGTCCATATCATGTCAGTATCAGAAGGTGTCCATATCATGTCAGTATCAGAAGGTGTCCATATCATGTCAGTATCAGAAGGTGTCCATATCATGTCAGTATCAGAAGATGTCCATATCTTGTCAGTATCAGTAGCATCCATATCATGTCAGTATCAGTATATGTCAGTATCATGTATATGCATTAATTCTGCGTAAGCATGTCTAACTTGACCTCGTTCAGAATGTTTATGAACAATTTGCTAATATTCAGTAAGTATCATTAGATGTCCATATCATTTCAGTATCAGTAGATGTCCATATCTTGTCAGTATCAGTAGATGTCCATAACATGTCAGTATCAGTAGATGTCCTTATCATGTCAGTATCAGTAGATGTACATATCATGTCAGTATCAGTAGATGTCCATGTCATGTCAGTATCAGTAGATGTCTATATCATGTCAGTATCAGTAGATGCCCATATCATGTCAGTATCAGTAGATGTACATATCTTGTCAGTATCAGTAGATGTCCATATCCTGTCAGTATCAGTATATGTCAGTATCATGTATATGCATTAATTCTGCGTAAGCATGTCTAACTTGACCTTGTTCAGAATATTTATGAACAATTTTCTAATATTCAGTCAGTATCATTAGATGTCCATATCATGTTAGTATCAGTAGATGGCCATATCATGTCAGTATCAGGAGATGTCCATATCATGTCAGTATAAGTAGCTGTCCATATCATGTCAGTATCAGAAGGTGTCCATATCATGTCAGTATCAGAAGGTGTCCATATCATGTCAGTATCAGAAGATGTCCATATCTTGTCAGTATCAGTAGATGTCCTTATCATGTCAGTATCAGTAGATGTACATATCTTGTCAGTATCAGTAGATGTCCTTATCATGTCAGTATCAGTAGATGTCTATATCATGTCAGTATCAGTAGATGTCAATATCTCGTCAGTATCAGTAGATGTCCATATCCTGTCAGTATCAGTAGATGTCCATATCATGTCAGTATCAGTAGCATCCATATCATGTCAGTATCAATAGATGTCCATATCATGTCAGTATCAGTAGATGTCCATATCATGTCAGTATCCGTATA